GCAAAGTTTAGGATTTCCTAATCTGGATGAAACCATTTGAACATTTGTACCCTGGTGATTAAAAAATGCTGCGTCAGTTATGGATATCTACACATCTATGTTTTTCAGTTCTGTTTTTAAAGAAACATTTCTGTATTAATTTAGTTATAAATTAATACTTTAGGCTTTTCCTGTGTTAATAAATGTACAGACAGGTTTTTAATGAAAATATTTGACATTTTGTATATTGAATTTTACTTGCACTTATTTTTAAGTAGTTAGTTAAATGCAAGCGTCAGGTTGCAAAAATCTGTTCTAAATTGAAATGCACTGATATTCGTTTTGTTTGATTAAAGGAAATTTCCCCCTGCGATGATTTTTGCGTCACTGGCTCCAAAAATCCAAGATGTCAACCAGGAACTAGCAAAACCCTGGCTTCATTTTCTCAGTGCAGAAACCAACAGGTGACGTCACGGTAGCTACGTCCATCTTTTATACAGCCTATGATTTTACCAGAGCTGAAGAGTTCAACTGAACTTTCCAGAAAGTAACTGAAATAACTCTGACAAGTGTTGATGTTCCACACGAGTGTGTCACAAGTTTTACTCCTCTACAGTGAAGCAATAGCTGCCATGAAGTAAAACTCTAACAGCCACTAATAGTACACACAGTTACAGCAGATGAACACCATCTGTAACAATCAGTGTCATCAGTGGGCGATTTAAGGGGCAATGAGGGGAGATACAATCCAACTTGTTGGTAAAATGATCATAATGCATCCCCTCTTGTTAACTTGTTTGTTAGTGGTGCTCTCATTGGGCCGTCCTCACATTTTGTTTCTTTACTGCAATGCAAGGACAACGCTGTTTCTGTATTTCCATTTAATTTTTGTATGTACTACATCCAGTTTTTGGGGCTGCAAAGTGGCGCAGTTGGTTAGCACTGTTGCCTCGCAGCAAGATGGTCGCCGGTTCGCGTCCCGGTGGGGGCACCGGAATCTTTCTGCGTGGAGTTTGCATGTTCTCCCCGTGCAGCGTGGGTTCTCTCCGGGTTCTCCGGCTTCCTCCCACAGTCCAGAAACATGCTGAGGTTAATTGGTGATTCTAAATTGTCTGTAGGTGTGAATGTGAGTGTGCTTGGTTGTCTGTCTCTAAGTGTAGCCCTGTGATAGACTGGTGACCTGTCCAGGGTGTCCCCTGCCTTCACCCTAAGTCAACTGGGATAGACTCCAGCCCCCCATGACCCTAGTGAGGATTAAGCGGTGTATAGATAATGGATGGATGGATGGATCCAGTTTTTGCATGACGTGTCCTCCATCTTTCTTAATGCAGACATCAAATTTAGACCTCTTTAAAGTGTTCCTGTTTTTAAACAAATCACCTTGAAGCATTAAAAAGTCAACCAACTCATGAAGCAAACATTAGCTTAATTAGGTGGGTACAGCTGATGCAATCTGTCAGCGGTCCTTGTCATTTCAGCCAAAACTGGCTGGAGATGAAAAGCTTGCTGTCTGACGCCAAGGACCCAGTGCTTTTAAAATTCCTTTGCAAAATTAATTACAGAACTTGACAAGTGTAGCGAAGTAACTAAAGACAGGATTGAGTGGGGAGGTGGAGCTCAGAAAACGGCTTTGTTAGAGCTCAAATTGATAAGCAAAAAAAATGTAACCAAACACTAAACTGTAGAGCAAAGGAAGGACGCAGAGATTCTCCTTCGTCTCATCCTGCATTTCATGCTGCGTACATTAACGAAGTCAGTCTGACACAAAGCATGAAACATAAATTAGAAGTTGGTTGACGACCACAAGCGGGCACGCCAGCTGTCTGAGGTTTGATTGCACGCGAAGCACTGCTGACTCCCCGACAACATAACAGATGAATGTGTGGCTCTTACCTGCTCCAGTTACCTTTGTTCCAGTCACGTATTTTCTGAGGATTTTGGGGGTATTTTTAGCTCCCGTTTCCATTTTGTTTACACGTGTTTCCATTTTAAAATGTTTTCCTGAAAATAGTAATCATCTTGACGTTTCGGTGCCGTAATTGCTTATTTGTCCGTGAGCTCGGAAATATATAATTTGGCCAAATTGTCTTGTTTGTGCGCATGCTGAGCTTCCACCCGACACACAAATTAGCACTCGGGGACGGTATAGAGGGGACAGCTGTGTCAGGTGAAGGAAATATGCTGCTCATCCAGGCAGTGCTGCTGCTGCTGCTGGTCTGAATGTTGATGCACAATAAATGCTCACTCAAGGACTGAAGTAATCCTCACTTGATCCTCCTCATCCTCCAGTGCAGATCTGGATGACGAGGTTAGAAGAGCTGGAGTGGTTCAGGGTATCCTGGAGCCCCTGGAGGACAATTTACTGATAGAGCTGCAGTTGAGTCGAAGATTGGAGAGGGAGTCGCAGGTTATTCCTAACTTATTGACTATTTATGTCCTGGCTGTCATGATTAGCCTCGTCAGAACGGTCCAATCACCTGCATGGAGTCCTCTGTGGCCTGAGGTAGCTTTATGCAGCACTATAGGCAACAGGCTGCTTATGATGGCCATATAGGCTGACTAAAACAGCTAGTGTGGCTTAATGTTATACCAGGTAGTGATAGCAACAATGCTGTCGAAAGCTGTGCAGCTTAAGTGTCTCTGCACACCAAATCTGCACAATAAAATGTGCGACTTCTGTGGATTGAATGTGTGAGAAGAAGCTGCAAGGTATGCCATGAAACTACTTCCCGAGAAGAAGGTGAAATATTTCTCCGTAATGACATTTTACAAACTTTGCAGCTCCAACAGTCGAGGAAGTCACAGTTTTTTAGCTGGTGTCTTGACAGTTATGTGAAATTATAATGAGGCATCTTGCAGCATGTGGTCTGTGTTTGGAAACTGCACAATATCCCAGGGACTAAATAATTTTATGCAATATACTCTATGCAGTGTAATGAGCAAATAGACTCTGTTTTACATTCCAGAAAGGAAGGAAATTTCAAAATCAAGACTTCTTGTTTGTCCTCCTATTTCTCCTACACATTATTGAGCTCAGTTTGATGTGATATTTTTTAACTCCTGTAAAACCACCTTCCTCTCCTAGTTTAAGAATATAACAATTTTGTTTTTCTCCTCTCACTGCACTGATCTTTATTTGTCTGACATAATCAGCTTGTGAGATAGCTGTAAGCTCCAAAAGAAAACTTGAGCCTGCACATAGTAGAAATGTGTCTCTGTGATCACATCCACATCTCTTTGTGTATTTTATCTGTTCTCAGAGTTTTCTCACATCTAAGATCTGCTTATAAACTTAAGTTTCTCTTTGATTCGGCACAAATCTCGCTGGTAAATAAAAGGATTCTCTGTCTGTGTTTGTGTGTGTGTCTGTTTTTTGAACATCTCAGCAACAGTAGATCTGATCTTCGTCACACTTGGCGGGTGAATCACTGGGGACTCCAGATTGTTTGGATGAGCGGTGGCCATGTTTTCAGTCTATATACTGACTAATTAGCTGATGCTAACATGCGCATAACAGCAGATACTGCGTTAGTTTCTACATAGCTGTGTTGGTGCATCCCACTGGTACGTTCAGCACATATTTTCATTTTCTTTCTCATCTGTTTGGATGGAAGTGATATTTCTTTTAAATGTGTAATAAAGATTTCATGACAGCTTCACAGGGCAGCAAGGTCGCCTCACGGCGATAAGGTAGTTGCTTGACTGGAATCTATCGATGTGGCGTTTGCATGTTTTCCCTCGCTTGTGCGTTCATTGGCAATTCTAAGTTGCTCATAACTGTGAGTGTGTGTGTCTGTGATGAACTGGCATCTTGGAAGCAAGGGAGGATTTCCTGCTTTTCTCGTGTTTCTCCTGTTACTCTCAAAGTGGACAGGGTCAATTGTCATAGATTTATTTAATATCTTCCGCTCTTTATTTCACTTAAGGGGAATTTAGGAGAACCGGATCAGAAGTAGTCATTTCCAAACAGGATGATTATTTATTGCTGATGAGAAAATGGAGCATCTATTGCGAGCAGCAGAGTTTACCTCTGGGCATGGACCATGTTGCATCATTTGCAGTGGAATCTAATCGTTCCATTTCAGCTGCTATTGCCTAGGTCCAATCATTTACAAGATAGTAGATATAATTTTGCATTTTAATTTTTTTTTTTTACCCAATACCTTGCTTTTAAGGCCAAACTGTGAAGCGTTTCAGAAATTACCATAAACACCGCACTGCCCATGGCCATATGTCTGTTCCTATCAAGTCAGAAAGGATGTAATAAACCGATTTTTGATGGTAAAATGAACCTTCAAGATTTGACCCTGAGTTCCCCTGGGCTTATCAGAATCACTGTCCCGAAGAGAAAGACAGCATCAGAGAAATATTGAATGACATTAAATGAACAGGATTTGAACTTTGGCACAGTTCTGCTGAACTGCACCCGGAGCAAAGGCCCACAAGTTATAATTAACCTTGTTTTAAAGTACAGTGTCCTCACTCTTATTTATAGCAACTTCAGTAGAATTAACTTGTCAGTTTCACCCAATTCTATTACAGCCAGTTTCTGCTTCGCATATTTTTAGGAAATCATCTGCTGTTCTTGTGTGTTTGCACTGTGATTTTTTTAATATCTCGGTACTTGAGAATGAGTATTATGAATAAACAGAAAGCTGCTCTAAATCCCTTTTCATCGCTGCTCTTGTATCAGAAGGTCATAACAAACACTGCCTGGCTGCCTTGCTGAGACACTTGTATTCCGTGACACCGCTCGAAGAAAAAAAAAAAAAGTCCATTTGGGTCTTTTAACCTGCTGTGACACTTGAAAGGCCATCCATCCCCACCTGGGGGCATTCGCACTTGCTTTTCACTCTGAGATTTTTGAGAGCTTATCAACCGGCAGGCGAAAAGAAAGGAAAAGGACACATAAATACGTATGATTTCTCCATCCTTGAGTTTTGTGATTAATGGCGCGACCCTGCCTGTCATTCTAAAAAGGAGATTTTCTGTCTTTTTTTTCTTTCTTTCCTGATCCTCAGGTTCATCACGAAAACACAGCACCACTCATTGGTGTCTGCAGAATATCGCGCAGGAATCAGTGGACAGCTCTGATGAGGAGTTCTTTGACGCCAGAGGTTAGTATTGTATTTTTATTTCTCCGTATTGTCCTGCTTTCACCTTGTACTTTTAGTCTCAGAGATAACCTGAACTCATGCACAAGCATTCTAAATAGACTGTTTCCCATCAGGTTTGTTGTCCTTTTTCTGCAGAAACTTATTAATAAGTTTAAGTTCCTTCCTGGCCTTGAGCAGACTGAAACAAATACAACCATTGTACTGTTTTAATGCTGCGTCTGTATTTGAACACACCGACCTGTTCATGTTCTCATTAATATTTGGGGAAAAAGAGGCCAGAAAAACAAGAAGACTTGTCAGCGTCCAGCAGAAACAAGAGACTTCACAGAGCCAAAAAGAGCCGGAAACAAAACTAAACAGGATTATGAAAACACAGTGAACAATGCTGTGCACTGTGGAGGCGACCATAAAACTTTAACTGATGTAAATGTCTTGGTTTTCCTGACCAACAGCTGGAAAAACCCAGAAAATACTGAGTTCACTTCAGTTTACTATTGTGTAAAGCCTCTTACGTCTACAGTTGAGAAGCTGGAACTGAGGCAATAAATGACTTAAACAAGTTGGGGGCTATTTTTCAGTCACTTAGCAAATTGATTATTAAGCTAATTGTTTTTAAGCTTTAGTAAAATTGCCTGAGCCTTATATCAAAGCCTAATAAGGCTCTTAAATGTTCAGGTTATGGTGAGCCCAAGGTAACGCTGTTGTTACGTTATTGTGTGGAACAAAGTTTATTGTGGTGTTTTATTTTAAAGCTGGAGGATAATAAGATACGAGGCTGGTTTAGCCTGTTGTATTACAGTGGGCTGGGAAAATACAAAGCAGCCAACGTTGGCCATATGTTGCCCAGAGGTTCGAGAAAATGACTGTTTGGAGGCTGGATTCTGATACATCCTCCTTTGACATTAGTTTTATGATCCCTGACATAAACAAAGACTTACCTAACCAACATGTATAGCACTCATTTGCACTGTTTCATACATGAGTTGGAGCAAGTTTTGTGTCTTGAGTGTGTGATTTTTCATGATCAATGGGACCGTAAGCTCATCTTACTTCAGTATTTTGAGCGTCCTCGTCTCCTCCGTCTTCTCTCCTCCTACCTGTTACCTAGAAATCAGTCGTGGCATGCTATCTTGAAAAACATCTCAGTTTCTAAAGTGCGTCTCAAGGCTTGCTGGAGGAGCATGAAGTGAGGATGCATTTCCGCACGCTTGACATAAAAGAGCTGGAAAATACTCTTCTGTACTGTCTATTCTCATAATAAAAAAAGCAGGACACTCATATATTCTCGTCACATTCCGCCACATTGTGAATTAAATTGGTTTTCAGGAAGTCGTAATAAACACTGCAGTGTAATTAATGTTGCATTTTGCTGAATGCCTGATGCCTGCTTCCATCTCTGATAGGAGGAAAGGAGGATGTACAAACTGAGAAATGAGAAGAGGGGGCATGTTGGTGCGTTGACTAGCTATGCACGAGAGACGGTCTGAAATGAGCGACTTTGGGGATGGCCTGGTATTTTCTGTGCTATTTTTACATTGGCTGGAAAAAAACCCCAAGTGTTTTCCTAACCTTTTAATTGTGTGGGCAAGATTGCCTGTAGCTACCGCACCACTGGCCTGGAAAATACAACCATAATCATCGAATCACAAGATAAAGTTGAGATTTATTAGCATTTGTGCTGCGTGTGCTGCATCCGTGATTGTCGTTATAACTCAGCCGGGTAAAAGGGAGTCGTATATCTGAACAAACCAGAGACAATGTGTTCCAAATAGCAGTAATAATGGATGAACTTCTGTCATTCTTAATCGTCACCCACTTTCCCGGCTGAAGGTTCTTGTAAATGCATTCACATGTCAGACTGACCAGAAATAGAGCCACTTGAGAACATGTTCGACTGGCAGCCTTTGCACGGTCCCAGAGGGAGTTCATCAGCGAATAAGTAGAATACTTATCCCAGCAATTATCCACTCCAAGTGCTTATCCCACAAGAGTCTGATGGTAGAGATACTTATCAATTATGTTTCAGTGCGATAACATGTTCTTATATTAGTTAAAGCCAGTCGATATCCGGCGGCGCGTTTCTGGTGTCCAACACTTGTTCATGTACTGTAAAAATGTTGCTCAGTGGGCAACAAAAATCTGAAATGTGCTCTTCTCTCCTTCTATTTGACCACTTGAAGGAAGAACTAAGTGCCGTTCCATGTGTTGTGTGGAAACTTAATGACTGTGTTTTATATTCTGTTCTGTCGTTCACGTTTGTTTATCTGTTTTTTCTCCCTTTGCTCTTCCTGCCTCAGTCTTTCACACTCCCTTAATTCTGATTTCCCCTCACTCCCTTCCCTTGAATATTCTGTTTGCCAAAAGAAAAAGGCACGATCACAGCCCTAGAAAACATGAAATATTTATCCTTATCACAGCTGTCGCAGAGCAGAGCTGTGCATCACTCTGAATGCATTTTGTGAGACTGGTGTCGAGGCACCTATCAGCGCCGAGGAATCACCTGGGACTGAGATAACATGCGCATGTGTTGTATGTGATCTGATGTACTTCGTCACCCTCACACTATCTGCAGTATGAGATTTCTCACTCAGCCATGAAATATGTGGACCGAGTTTGACGGGAAAGCGAGGCAGCGACGTCCTTTGTGTTCTTTACCTAAATGGTGGCGATGACTGGGGAGAGAATCCACAACTATCTTGATGTTCGCTCTTTGTGTTCACGCATTTTATGTCAGTTAGTTCAAAAGAATAGTTCTGCTTATTTGCTTTCTTGCCTTGTCAGTTTATATTTATTATACATACACAGACGAGAGAGTGGAATCGATCTTCACATTTAATTCTGAGTTACAAAGAGAATATTTGGATGCTGTGAGAAGTTTCATTCATCGCACTAATGGTTCTTAGCAGCGTTTATTTTGTATTTATGTTATTTTAGTAGCTGATCTTACAACTTGATATCCTCTTAGGCCTATTTTAGTTTTCTATTTTGTTTTACTAATTGATATTACAAGTTTTAGTCTTGATGTCTTTAATTTTGTCTGATAACGTGTGCAGCATCACTTGGTGTAAACGTGCTATTTAAATAATTAGATTTGATTCATCATTAGATGTACATGAGATGCATGGATTTAAAAATCTGATATGAGTTGGTATTAAATCAGTTTACCCTATTTCCAGTGTTTATGCGAACTCACTAATGGCTATTGCTTTGAATTTAACAAACGTATAGAATTAAAGATTTGGGGAGCCTCACATTAATAGCATATGACACTTTGTTTTTGGTTGGCTTCAGCCACAATCAGTGTAATGTCATTGAGTCTTTTTCCACTGCAGGACCTTGTGGACCATTGTGGGGCAGCTTGAACCTTAGTTCGTGTTTCAACCTCAAGTAAAGCCCCAGCATGACTTCTGTACAGGGCTGTTTTGGGGGGTGAAAACAGCACCTACTCCAGGGAGCGACCTTGAATAACTGCTGTGTGGGTCTCAGCACTGATTGGTTAAACTCAGAGAGGCCATTTTTTCTGCCCCTCGATGTCTTCGACCAAGTATCAGTCTCCTCGCCTCAAATGCCGCCATCAACAATGTAAAATTCAGCATATAACCTAACATAACAAATCCCCATTATTCTATTTATTACATGCTTATAGCGCTGTAGGCACATCCAGTATTTTTCATTGTTTTGCCGTCTTGGTTTTAATGTCGCAGTAAAACCCTTTGGATCCTGCACCCCAACGGAAGCAGAAAGGGCCAATTATGGGGACTTTTCTATGAACTTTTGCGCCACCTTGCAGTTCACCCAGTTCCTGCTGTGGAAGCTGTCCTTTGTGTTTCAGTCACACATGTGGCAGTTTTTAACTTTATTTTTTACTTATTGTTCTTTAGGAGGCATTTTTATGCTTTAAGTTCATAGAGGCAGTGGAGAGACACAAGAAATTTGTGGAAATCGAGATGAGAAAAAACAGATTTGCCCTGAATGAGGTAGTTTTGAGAAAGTAGCTTCAGTGACTTTGAAGTTTCCGCATCCGTCTGCCACGTCTGGCCCTCGTGCACAGCAGGAGACCTAAATCTGATGCTTTTGGTGAATGTACCATTAGTTTTTCCATCCTTTTTTTTTTTTTTTATTCCAACCATTTTTTCGATCTCCAACTGGCTTATTACTCGCTGACTTGTCCTGTGTGTGTCCAAACACATCGCATCTCATTTCGCCATCTCTCACTGAGGCACATCATTGCGATGACTTTGCGGCGGCGCCGGTGTTTTTGAGGTTTTATGTTGTGAAAGCGCCCGGATTATCCTTTCAAGTTGCATGAAAGTACGACTGTTCCAATCTACAAAGAAGCTTCTTAAGAAGGAGCACTGCAGTGAAACATGGAATATAACAACGCAATTTTAATTTTTTAGTCGGAAAAAACCCAACTAAACCAAGAACAAGGGAGGAGGTGTTTGAAGAGCGTGTTTTTTTTTTCCCCTTGTGGTTGCTATGTGACTTTATTGTCTGGGCTCAGAGGGAGAGTGGAGCTGTGTCCTGCAGAGAAGGCAACAGAGCAAGTTATTCCAAACATAAACATACGCTCGGTATGAAGGATGCCTCCCTTAAAAGGGAAAAGCAGAACAAGGTCGTAAAAGGTTGTTGAAATTATTTGCCTCTACAGTCGCTCGCTAACTGCCCGACTGTGACTCTCAGTCTGCACATAACTAGTCTGGTTGTTTTTATTTCTCAAGGCAGACTTGATATATGTTTTCTTTAGCCAAAGGTAATTTAAACGTTATATAGAAGAGCAAGAGGGGGCAAATGAAAGAATTGGATTGGAGAGTGATTGAGCGGTGAGTTTGTCATATACCAGGCCCACCGCTCAAACCGTCACAATAAGCTCGGGGGGAGTTTTATTCGTTCGCTTATGATGAATGCCTTCATCAACACTGTGCAACCTCGTGGACCCAGATACAAAACATGAAAATATATGAAGACTGTCAGGAATTTTCTCAGTTTTCTGCTAAACA